CAAATACTAGAACAAACAATTTATTATTTATACAATTATAATTTTGATATTGATAGTGTGAGCATAATAAAACATTAAAAGTGGCCAACCATCATTTGTTAAAATTTATTATGAAAGAGTCTATAATAGAGCTTACTATTCCGTTCCATTCCATTCCATTTTATTCTGTTAACCAATCATAAAGCCCACTGTAAACAACCTTCACAACAAAATTCTCATTTAGCCAATCAGATRAAACTTGATCTGATAAGAGTGTGGGAACATGTTAGTATGTACATKTATCACTGTCTGGTGTTCCTGTTATCTGATTGGCCAACTCTTTTTTTGTTGGATTAAGATAAATACACAAATGTGGCCGGGTACTGCTGGTAAATGATAGAAGTGTTTAAGCTTTTGCTGTTCAAGGCATTGTCAGAGACAAACGAATCTGTGCTTCACTATAGCTTAGACACTTCTATCACTAATAACAGCAGTACCCAGCCACATTTGTTGTTATTTAAAATTATTTTAGCTGGATCTGCCCTTGGTAGATTTGAATTCAATCAAATGTGCTTACCTCTGTCTTCCTGAAGCACTCTCCATCTTAAATACATTATTCTCAAACTTCTTCACTGTTGAAATAAGTCTATCGCGTTCTTCATCATTCGGCATCCTGAAACCAACTCCACCATCTTTGCCTTTCTCATGTTTAGCTYTTCCCATAAAACGACGTCTGTAGAGGCCATCGAAACTGCCATCTGCAATAGACAGCAGCTTATCCTTGTAGTGATCCTCCAGCTCAGTTGTCAATTTGTCCACTAGACCGACAACATTGTACTCCTTTACTCTTCTTAAGATTATATCCTTAAGCACAAGGAACTGTGCYTCAACAAAATTATTGGTGTGATTTCCTCTTACAGGTAACTCAGCACGGAAACAAACAGCAAAGTCTGCCTTATCATTATAAAGGGATGACAAATACAGGATTAGATTACCATATTTCTTGCACTTCCCATCATTGAGCATTTCAGTGAAGCATTCTTCAAAAAGTRCTTTGGATCTTGCATACAAGCATTTCTTAAAGAGACATATTATATAAGGGCGATCTGCCTGTTCAATACAATGTTCTTTATCATGCAGCCATCTCCAAACTTGYTGCAACACATGAAAGATACAAAGTAGCAAAGTAGCTGAAGGCCAAACAGACTTAASTGTGCTTCTCTCTTCAGTGCAGTTATCTGTCAATATAATTTGAGGACCAATGCTAGGACCACGCCCATAGAATGCATATTCTGGTAAAGATGACTTGTACATGTTAAAGGCTTTTTGCAGTGTGCTTTCACGCTCATCACTAGTTATTATTATTCCTAATGGGAGTGCTCCAGCAACACTATGAGTGCAAATCACAAACACTTTCAAATTATGTTCCTCTGTATTTGATGTGGCATCAACAAACACTAATTCACCTGACTGGGCGATCTCTTGATGCACACGCTTCATTARAGGAGTAACAATAACAACAATAAGAGGTTTGTCATCACCTTCATATACTTGATGACTAGTTGTTGCTCCAGGGTTTTCTGTCAAGTAAAACTTAAGTTTGTCAACAAGTTTATTGAACATATGGGCACCCTTTCCCCMAAAATTTTCTCGWCCAAACTGTTCATATAAATGATTAAAGTCCCTTCTTCTAGGTGTTATTGACCTGTCTGCTTTTTTCAGATGGTAGGATAGTTCATCACAAGAATCCCGTAATTCCTTCAGAAATTGCTGCAGAGCAGTTGATGGTGTGTGCCCACATTCATAAAGACGTTTTACTTTGGCTATGGACTCTGATGAAATGTCTCTAAAGTTCGCTGCCTCCAAACTCTCTATTGAGTGGTTATGCTCCCACTCTATATCAACATAACAACTTCCTTTCATGTCGATTTTGATTATAAGTTGAAAAGGACAATTTGTGTTTTTTACTCTGGCTGAAGGATTTTTCGTCAGTTTTCTTTGTGGATCTTTTGTAGGACTCCAGTTCCTCGTGTTATGTTGACACCTATAGTAGTTGTGAATCATGCATCCCTTTGTTGKTTTTTTCTTGGTCTTCATTCTCGTAGCAATATTATTGGACTCCTGAAACTCTTGTASYCAAATTTCATAAGACTTTAGCTGTAAGCCATCATGTTCATTGACAACAAACGAAGCCTTCCATTTCTTTTCATTGCCAGATACCGTTTTGAATTGATAATCAAAATCTTCAGGAAGTCTACTAATTACAAACGATTCTAAATTTTTTGAGYCATCCATACAATTCTCAAAACGATTCGATATTTCATTGATTGATTGCCTTATCAGACTCGAAAGACTTTCGTCGGCCATTTTGAATCGCGTTAGGACCTAGGCTCAAACGATCCACAGGAAACCCGTCAATAAAACCGTACAAACAAGCGAACTTTCGCGTTGAAGCGTGATTCATCGAGAAGGTTTAATGGCAACGACCGTTCTCGATGGCATCGACCGTTCCCAATAAAGGCAACGACCGTTTCAAATGGCAACGACCGTTTACGAAACGGAAAATTGCATCGCCTCACCAAAATCGTTGTTCTGTAAGCTTTGGATTTGTGAATACATTTCCTAAACATAGAATACAATACTTTACTTACACTTTTAGCTGATTCGACCAAAAGTTTTTCTTTGAAGCGACTTTTGTATCCACTTATTAAAGCTTAGATGAACAACGGCGGTTATCCAGCAGCCCATCGCTAGAAACCACTCAGTTCCAGTAGAAATGACNCATCCATACAATTCTCAAAACGATTCGATATTTCATTGATTGATTGCCTTATCAGACTCGAAAGACTTTCGTCGGCCATTTTGAATCGCGTTAGGACCTAGGCTCAAACGATCCACAGGAAACCCGTTAATAAAACCGTACAAACAAGCGAACTTTCGCGTGTTTAATGGCAACGACCGTTCTCGATAGCATCGACCGTTCCGAGTAAAGGCAACGACCGTTTCAAATGGCAACGACCGTTTACGAAACGGAAAATTGCCTCGCCGTCGCCGCTTGTGCATTTATTTCAATATCATATCGCCATGGAAACGGAATGATTGACGTCCATCAAAACCTTGTTTTGCTTTTGAAATAGCCTGAGTATCAGGCTCTCTCGAAGGGGTTTAGGGCGGAGCGAGAAAGGAGAGAGAGAGCCTGACACATCTTATATCAAGAGATGTTCCGCCTCCTTGCAATGCGTGACGCGTGACAATAAATTTAAGCCGATTAAAAGCTGTTCCGGTTTGCTTGATTTCTCGATGTGGCGGTTATATGTCAAAATTTATCTAGTACATGATTTTAAAAGTCGCAGCTTTTATGCCGATTTTTATCAGATTCTCAACTTGTGGACGTCTAATAAGCTCTAGAGGATTGATCACTATAATCTTGAATTGTTTTACTCCGTTATAGGTCGGTGTAATGCACCTATCAATGTTAAGCCCCCAGGGGGGGGAGGCCGGGCTAGGGGTGGGGATTTTTTTTGTTTGAAAAATAGAGTCAATTGAACAAGAATAACAGGTTGGATCATTACCACTGGATGCATGCTTCAAATTTTAGAGAAAATTGGAGTTAAAATCAATTATGCTAATTTGATGACGTCATCCGATGTGCTCTATTAAATTTCAACTGTGATTTGTAACGAGTGTTCCTACGTTTACCCATGTCAAACTGTGAAAGATTGTTTTCCGTAACAAATATTTTCTACAAAACAATAATGTGAAAGTAAACAATCGGACAATTTTGTATAATCAATGAGTCAATCACTTGACATCATCWAATTAAGATAATAGTTTTTACATTCAATTTTCCCTGAAATTTGAAGCCTGCATTCAGTGACACTTTGCAGAACTATTGTCTTCTTCATATTGATTCTATTTGATCGAAACAAAAAAAATCCTTCATAAGGACTTTAAATCATTGTTATAGATAATTGTGGCTGTGAGGTTTTGTGGTTCACTGTAATGAAACTCGTTTTTCATTATTTTACAATAATTTTTCTCTAGAATCAATCAACAGCTGAGGAAAAGAAAATCGGAATGGATAGAACCATTCCTGATGATCTATTGATGTATGAAATCATCAGCGTCTGTGTCCGCTTCAAGAAGCGGTGGAACAACATAAAAAGACGACTTCGTCGTTTCAAAGAACACATAGTGGAGACCATTTGCTGTGGATGTCAGTGACRTGGCTGGACTGGACTGGAAGTGGACTGAACGTACATTGGACCTGGACTTGCGAACAATTCCAAAAAAAAATTTGTTATAATATCTGTTTGTTTTGTCCTTTCTGTTGCACTAGCGTTCTTGTGATATCTCCATTCATAGAGAATAAAGCGAGAATAAGCCCAAAATATTTCTGAAAAACTTCCCTCGTTCAATACCAAATTGTTGTCTTGATTCAGAGCTTGCTTCAGGTCATGACCTCAAACACGATGAGTGGTCAAAATACCGTTGAAAGCCGTTCCATCCGTTCCATGTATTTCCATGCTTTCTAGAGTTAACTTTGCTCTTTCGACTGAGTAAATGAAGATAATTAAAACTTTTGAGGACGAATGAAATGGCTCTGAATTTGCATTGCTATGTCCAGAAAAAAAAGACTAAACTATCAAGTGTGACAGCAAACAAATAATCTATTGAGGTTGACTACACTTAATCCATAMATTTTACCAACATCTTTGAACTATTTTCTGTAATTTACTAAATTGTGTTCATAAAGAACTAAGGAGATTAAAAGGRTGTTCCGCTTCAGCTACATTTTTTGTACAAATTTGTGCTATTCTGATTTTGTATAATTTCTCGGGTTTAGAGTGAAGTCATTGGAGCGGCGTCAAAAAACCCGTGAAATAGATATTACACACATGATTACACTCTATATTGCACTGTTTTCTTTTGTGTCCATTTGACTACACTTTAAYAGTTGGATGTGTTTCACGGGCATGAAATGAATTGACATAAATTAGACAGTAATGTCATCAGAAACGTAGTAAGTACAGGGCATACAGAAAGATAACAAGAAGAACATCCAGAATGTATGCGAAGAGATCTTTCTTAACTCTAAAGTACAGTTTCTTTCTCAACTACTACAAGTTGGGTATCCAAAGTCCCATCCAAAATAACTTCTATAACTTCTCTATTTGATGATGGAATACAACGAGTCAAAATATACAGACATCCAGCAAAGACTTCTAGCGAGCCAGCAGTGTAGAAGGCATTGTTGTATGATCCACTTACGTCTGCTATAAAACCTAAAGACAACATTGATAAAGGTAAACTAAGTCTCTGTTTGCATGAGGAAGCTAGGAATCCTGTAATATTGTGACCCAGATGAAAATCCGAGCACTAAACCCAGAACAGAGCTTATTAAAAGCCCGCATGCACCCAAGAGCCTTTGCGCGATTTCTTTCCATGCGAAAATTCGTCGTGTTCAGAATTAAACCAATACGAAAGCATCTGTTAACAAGAGGTCATTTTTATAATAAAGGAAACGATCACAGAAGTTGTTGGATGATTGTTGACCGTTTAAACTTGGCTTATTCTTCCTATTGTGCGGACGAAGGATTAACGTCCGAAACGTCAGTAAGTTATTTCACATACTTTTTTTACGGTGTTAAATTTATCTTTTTACACAACTGTTTCTTTAGAAACACCGACGCAGCTCACACTAGTTTACCGCTAGTTCCCACCATT